CCCCCCCTCCCCCAGCCGCTCGCCGTCCGTGCTCTCCAGCGGGATGCCCTTGAACAGGATGACCATGACCAGGTCCAGGCGCCACACCTTGTCGGCCTGGCGCAGGCAGTCGATGCGCCGCATCTTGCCCTTCTGGTCCGGGTTGGACAGCACGCAGCCGGGTGCCTTTTTGCCGGTCACGGCTAGCACGAAGTCTTCGCGGCACTCGGGCCGGATGTCCTTGCGCAGCTTGGCCAGCAGCCGCGACGCCCACTTCTGCTTCACCTCTGCCTTCTCGCCCAGCAGCTCGTCCTTCACCGCGCGCTCCTCGTCCTTGGACATGCGTTTCTCGTGCTTCTTGAAGTACTTGCGCTTCCGCGCCTGCAGGTTGAACCAGGTGTAGGCGAAGGCGCGCACGTGGGGCAGCAGCGCCTCGATGAACGGGTGGAACTCATCCTGTGAAGAGGCAGGGAAACTGAGGCTCGGGTAAAAACAGACCTGCTGCTGCCCAGATAGGGAGTCCCGAGAATGTCAGGGCTGGAGGGAGTCTCAGACTCCAAGCGCAAGGGATTTGAGGGAAAATAAAATCCTGTTGGGACAGCAACATCTGGCACAGGAGCCTCGCATCTCTCGTGGGTGGCTGCTGGCGACTCAGAGGGAACACCCCCAGAGCCCCACTACCTGTGGCATGATAGGGAAACTGAGGCTCAAGTCTTGCCAAGGTCCCCACAGAGCCTTAAGGAGACAGGCTCAGGTCGCTGGCTGGTTTCTTGTGATGGTTCTGAGTCAGGGGTCTCCTCCGGACCCCCCAGCCCACTGAGCAGGTGCCCCGGACTGCACCTGCCCCGCACCCCAGAGCCAGGATGCCAAATGGCACCTATTACCAAACCTCTGAAAATAGCTGGTGAGCTGGAAAAGGCCAGGCTGGGCCACCCCGTCCCCCAGGCCAATGTCCTCTGAGGTGTGAGTCACTGGAACAGCTGTGGCCTGGACCTGGGGGGGGTGCCTCTGCCCTTCCCCCATGCTGGCTGCTGAGTCTGGGGAGGAGATCGGGGACTGGGAAGCAGGGGGTTCTTCCTGGGTCAGGATTGTAACTGACATGTGGGACCAGAGACAGGCAGGAACTAGGTCACACAGCCTTCAGTGGGGCTGGGACAGCATAGTGGATGGAGGGTCACTGGCCCCAGGGTGGGTGATGGCCAGTGAGGGAGGGTGGCTGCAACCCAGAGTTCTATCTCTAAGTTCACCCTAAGTACCTCTGCCTGCTGAGCCCCATCTGTGATTGTTCCTTAGGTCCCAATCCCTCGGGAAGGCCATGGTGGGTGCCTGCATCACAGTCACTGGTGGCCCCAGCTGGCCAGCAAGGTAGGAAGGTAAACAGTAAGTGACCGGGTCATAGACCTGCTGGTCATGCTCCCCGTCCCCTCTGACCAGGCAGGCCCAGGCCCTCTCTGTCACACAGCACCAGTCACAGCCAGGACATCAGCACAAGGATCAGGCAAAGAAGAGAACCAAGATTGGTGAGGGTCCAAAAGTCCTCTTGGGCCACTAGTGCACACCCCTAGATGCCCTGTCCCCCCGCACCCGTCCCTTACGCCCCTTTCAAGCCTGGACCACATGGTTCAGTGTGGTCACCCTCTTCCCCGACCAAGGAAGGACATTAGAGGGAGTCCTCACAGATGTGGGGGTGGGGTGGTAACCAGGCCTGTATCATGATTGGGCCCCTGCACTGGCCACTTGTCCCGGCTTCTGCCCTCTGAAACTGGGGCCATCAACTAAACCCACTGCACTCCCTAAACCCACTGCCCTCCTTACAAGAGACTGCAGTTCTGAGGACCTGCCCTGATTACCCCCAAACTCCTAGGCATTCTTTAAAGGTCTAACCCCAATCCCTTTCCCACACAGCTGGTGAGGGGCAAAGCGCCAAGAACCTCTCTAGAATCCTGATTACCTGCCTAGGATAGTGATAGTGTCCCCGCCCCAGCCTGGCACCTGTGTCCAGCTCCTCCCTAACCCAGTCAGGGAAGGGGCTCATTTGCTTTCCTGGTGCAGGGAGGGCAGAAGCAGGGGGGGGGCAGACAGGGAGGAGTGCGCCCCCGTACCCTACACTCATCCAACTCCCTATGGACCTTCCTCTCTATTCAATCCGAGGTCACAAGTAAGCTTTTTTTTTTTTTTTGAGACAGGTTTACATATTCATAATCCCCCTGCCTCAGACTCCTGAGCACCAATGTGACAGATGTGTGTCATCATATGGGTCTTTTTATTTTTATTTTTTTGATTTTTCTTTTTGGTTTTTCGAGACAGGGTTTCTCTGTGGCTTTGGACCCTGTCCTGGCACTTGCTCTGGAGACCAGCCTGGTCTCGAACTCACAGAGATCCACCTGCCTCTGCCTCCCAAGTGCTGGGGTTAAAGGCGTGTGCCACCAATGCCCAGCAACCTGGTGGATCTTACATTATCTGCCTTTTTCCAAGTCACCCCATGAATGTGCCCTAACTTATCATACCCTCCAACAGCCACCAGGGGCCGGCCAGACTTCACACTGGAGTGTGTGCATGTGTGTGGAGTGGGGAGATGGCCACCATGAAACCCAAGTTTGAATACCAGCGTCCCATCAAAGGCCAGACATGGAGACAGGCAGTCCTGGGGCCACAGCCTTGGGAGTGGAGGACAAAGCAGACCCTAACTGATGAGATACCTATGGATGACATCTGATCTCCATTTGTGCACTAATGTTTGGGGGTCACCACTGTCCCCCATCACCCACCTCAAGTCTGCTTCACTTAAGCAACAGAATGAAGGGAAGCTTTGAAATGCTTACTGGCTAAGCCCTATTAGCCAGGGCAGCAGCATTTATCAAGTGCCTACTGTATACCCAGCTCTGGACCATGCGAGTGGCAGTCTATGGGGCACAGGACCCTGTCTCCCCTATTCTGTGTGAGATGACACACTAACAGCCATTTACCAAGCAATGGATATTCATTGAATGCCTACTGTGTGCCATCACCTGTGTCTGATAGCATTTATTGAGTTCCTACTGTGTGCCACACCCTATATCCAGCACATAAGAAATATCCACCCTACCCCACCCCAAGCTGACTAGTCACTAGGATTCTGGGCTGATGTGAGGGTTCCCATTCCCGAATATACAGGGATGGGAAGCAGTGAGCCAGCCACCCTGGCGGTGGATCTCTGTGCACTGGGGAGGGGGGACTGCACGGAGTTCTGTGGGAGGGGACAGGAAAGAGCAGGAGGCTCCCATGTCTGCTGCAGGGTTGCAGGAAGAGCTGGAGAGGGAGCAGTGGCTGCCTCGGGAGAAGCTAGAACGCTGACTCGCCAGAATTCAGCTCCCTGATTTACAGGCCTCGGCCCAGGCAGAGGCACCTTCTCTGCATTGAGGAGGGGGCGGAGGGATGGGCACAAGGACAGTAACAGGGACAGTGCTGGGTCTGTTGTTGTGAGTCCTTTTGGGGACACACCAGGGGCCGAGCCCATACTGTGCTGCTTGGGGGGCACTTCTCACTCTCTCTGATCCCCCCAGCCCCCTCTGGAATGAAACACTAAATGTCAGGTGCCTTGGGCTGCCTCAGTTTCCCCACAGCCAGGATAGCAGGAGAGAGAAGCGAAGCCATGAGGAGGAGTGAATGGAGGAGGGAGATGGCCTCAGCCCAGGCCCAGGGAATCCTTAACCTCAGCCAACAGGGATTTGGCCCCAAACCCGGAATAACTAACATGGGGCGGGAGGGCGGGAAGGAGGGAGGGAGGGGGAGGCCGCCTCGGCTTGGGATTCATGGAAGTGACTGCTGTTTCCCCAGCAAGAGTAAAAGTGAAAAGGGGCCTGAGTCACCAGACAGGACAGGGGACCCACGGGGCTCCCAGAATTCTCCCGGGCACCTGGTGGCCCTGGCATCAGCGCTGACATCAGGGCCAACCCCGCCCCGGGCCAGGATCCCGGTAGGATCCGGTCGGATCAGCAAAGGAGTTATTTCAGGCTGAACCCTGGCTGTAAAATTAGCCGATTCGGGAGGGCTGGGTGAGGAGAGACACAGAGACAGGCAGACACAGAGACAAAGAGAGACAGAGACAGAAACACAGACAGAGAGAGACAGGTCAAGGCAGACACCATGAGTGCTGTGGGGGGCAGGGCCGGGAGATGGGGAGGTTGGGGGCTGCAGCATTGTTCCTGGGGTCCAGCTGAGCCCCTACAGCTGAGATTCCTGCCCAGCCTGGGCTTGGCTGGAGCAGACAGATCACACTTGGGACTCAGGAGACTCTGGGGGGTCTCCTCTGGGCAGGAGAGTGGTGAGTGGGAAATCACTGGGGTGTAGGGACTCTAAACCCAAAGCATCCAGGGGTCCCCTCCATCTTGCTGTGCTTCTGCTTCCTATTCTCCAACCTGCTGCACTGGGCTCCGCACATCACCCCCCTCCCAGACCCACACCCTCCTATGGGGGGAAACTGAGGCCAAGGCCACACAGTAAGTTCCCTGGGCCAGAGCCAGCAATGAGATTGCACCCACCCCCAGCTCCCAGCAGCAACCTGGATACGGGCTGGACTCCAGAAGGCCTGGCCGGGGGAATTCCACGTGCCCAGGCTGCCTTCCAGCCAGCCACGTCTGCCTCAGACCTTTCTGCCACCAAGCCTAGCAGTCAACACAGAGACGTCAGAGTCTGCCTGGGACCACACAGCAATCCCATCCCAACTGGTGGTCTGGCAGGTGACCAAGTGATGCCTGCCCTGGGTTGTGGGGGTGCCCCCTCCCCAAATCTTGCTTGAAACAGAGGCTGAGGCCTGTTGAGGGGGCAGGCATTTATCCAAGGTCACCAGGCAACTCTGGGTAGAGAAGGCTGGGGGTTCCCTCAGCACACAGGTCTCCCCTGGGGAACAGAACTCTTCTTGCCAAGATGGAGGGGGCTGGCAGGAATAGGGGACCCCCGGGGGGCCTGTCCCTGAGACCATCCACCTGGGCCTTCCCTGGTGCAAACAACTGAGCCCCTCGAAAACTCAGACAATCACAATCCTCTAGCATGGCACGTAACACTTTGGAGACCACTATGTTTCTCTCTCTTGGGGGAAACTGAGGCCAGAGTCACACAGCAAAAAAAATCAGAAGAGGGCTGTGGAGTTGGAAAAGAAAGGCCTGGGAGACAGTGATGGGGGGTTCATTAGAGGAAGTCCCCTGGCAGGATGGCTGTGCCCCCTCCCTACATCCTCTCAGACGCTGGAACCCGGTCAGAGGGGAGCAGGAGGGCAGGTGCTGGCCTGGCCACCTAGTACGCAGCCCGCAGTGTCGGCAAGTCCCCTGCCTCCGCGCCACTGCCGCCGCCTCCTCCTCCTCTTCCTCCTCCTCCTCCAGCCCGGCCTCTGCTCCTCCCGCTAGCTGCCTGGCAGCGCCTGCTCCGCTCAATAATTCAAGAATCAATGCAGAGCTGGGGGGAGCTGAGCCAAGGAAGGGGGGGACCCGCGCCGGACACGGGCAAGGCCGCTCCTCCCC